AATTGTTACACCCGATAAAGCAGCAACGCTGATGATTTAATTAAAGATGAAAGAATTTAGACCGTTTTTAACTCTCAGTGTTCGTTTGACTTTGGGACCTGAAGAAGACGGAGTTTAGGACCCAGATTACTCCGTGAAGCTCCTCACTACAGCAGCCGTAACGCTCTGACGATCCATCAAGCAGTGCAGCTTACCAAAGCTGTACTAAAACATTTTAACAGATTTCTGCCAAAATCGGTTCGAGGTTAGTAAACACAACCAGAATTCATACATAAGGATTTTAAGTGTGCCTTATAGTGTGGAAAATACGTTATACAGAAGAAAAGAATATATTGTGATGTATATCGTTACCGCACGTGCTTCAAATTATATCGCGATATGAATTTTAGGCCATATCGCCCAGCCCTACTACAGACATACAGCTCGAGCTCCTGCGCTGAGCCGACTGGTCTTTAAAACTTTAAAGGACAAACTGAGAAAGATGTTTTGGCTGATTTTGGCTTTTCTACATCTATGTATAGAAATTAGAGGCAACGTGAGAAGCAGACTAATCTTTGACTGACAGTTATACCGCTGCACTCAGAAAAACGAGCAACACAAGTGAAAGAAAACGAGAGAAATCCCTGGAATAAGTGAAGAAATCAGAGATTTTCTGAGCTAAAAAACTCTCAGAACGCAAGCAGATAAAACTGAGTCGTCTACATAGAAGTGGACATAAGAAAAACAGGACTGTTAACACCCCTGTGTGCAGATTGGGACATATGTGCTCATATATTTACAGACTGGTTGGTGTCGCCCGATGAGCAGCTCAAACACAGGCAGCAGATACTCTGCAGCTCTGGAGCCGGCTGAGGACAGCAGCAGCTGCTAAATAATTAACGTCCAAACCTACACGGATCTCTTACCGACCCTACAGAGACCGTTTACAAAGAATGGACGTCTGCAGGTGAGCCAATGATTAAGCATCTTTACGCTGCATCCCTCTGAGCAGCACACGGCTCCGACTCACTGAAGGTGAAACTTGTGCTCAGCTGATCTCAGCAAACACTTTGTGGTCGCGTTGAATCAAACATGAAGTTCATTATAAATGATGGTCCCACCAGAGAGGCCGTGGCCGTGTCCACCACGAGTTTGTGCTTTTAGGATGGAGCGAGAACGACTGACTGATCACGAGACAAGCTGAGAGCGTTCAGAGGAAACATTCATCATCATCTTCCTCTCGTAGCTGTAGGAAGCCAAGAT